TGCTATGTAAGTGTTTTAAAGAAAATACATTTCTGTTCTTCCTAAATTTCTGTCCTTCTGATGTGTCCTGTTTTACTCCCACAGCTGATGTGACTTTGGACCCTGATACAGCTCGGTATTTCACCCTGTCTGAGAATGGGAAGAGAGTTAGATCAGGAGAGGTGACAAAACTCCCCAACAGTCCATTGAGATTTAACTCCTGTGTCCTGAGCAGGGAGGGCTTCACCTCTGGAAGACACTACTGGGACGTGGAGGTGAACGACCGCTGGATAATTGGAGTGACAAGAGCATCTGCTGAGAGAAAAGGACTGATTATCATCTCTCCCTGCTGGGGTTACTGGTGTCTGTACTCTGATTCTTCTGCTTTCTTTGCTCTCACTGACCCTGAGACCCGTCTCCCCCTCAATCTGCAACCCAGGAGGGTGGGAGTGTGTGTGGATATCGAGGAGAAGAAGGTCTCCTTTTACACAGTGGAGTCCAGAACACATATCTACACTTTCACTGACATGGAGTTCAGTGAGCTAGACAAAATCTATCCTGTCTTCTGGACCCATGATAAGTTTAATGACCTTGTGCTGCAGCCTCCTAGCAGAAGTGAAGATGAAACACATCCATTACTCATTAGCACAGGCTGACTCATTCACAGGTCAATATAAATCTCAATATAAATATTATTAACTTTCATTGGTGTTATTGTTTTCTGATGTCCATGTGTGGGGGGTGATGGGGGACAGGTCTCTCACAACTGACTGATTGAGGGACCATACTGTATGCATGATGTCTTCATCATTCTGGACAGTTTGACAGCACAAATTAAATAAAGAATTAATGACTTATAATAGATCCGAGTAGAGATTACATACCTTATGCAGAGGACATTTAGTGAAGCTTACCTGGCTGAGGGAAACATTGGCAGCCTTGGTAAAGGATTGAAAAACACCAATCCAGAATTCCAAACACTGAACTAAGAGCAAGTCAGTTCAACTGTGGATTCTCTGGAACTGAGTACATGTGTACAACAAATTACAGGGCAAGTAAGACACTTGTATGAATAAGTGAGTTTGGATGCGGTGCTTGAGAAGCATCTTTGCTGAAGATGCCAGAACACAGGCCATCATCCAAAAGATTTTGTTTCTTCCTGTTAGCTGCATGAGAGATTTACAACAAAGGTGTGACTACGTTAAGCTGCTGTTGCACTGCCATTTCCCTCACGGGGTCAATAGAGTATCTATCTATCTATTGTAGCAGTTTTAGCATTTGTGGTGATCCAGTGGAAAACAATGAACAGTATGTGGTCATTATACTGTATGTGTAGCTGCATGTCTGTGTTAGGATGGGCTTATAATACCACTATATGACAAGGTTATGTAGAGCACATGATACTCTTAATAACGGTGTCAGTGTGCAGACACTGTGAAGAACAGTAGATCCGAGGAGATCATCATCTCAGAATGGGCTGTGTTTATATTCTTCAGAAGCAGTCACGGACCACAACAGCTGTTCATGCAGATAACATCTCCAGTGTTAAAGCATCTCTCTCTCTTCAGATGAGTTTCACTGTGTGTTTTTATCCAGTGGAAATCTGTCATTCTGTGGTCCCTCGGGTGTTTTTTAATCAATATCTATGGTCAATAGTGAACATCTGATCTTTTCCTCTGTGATGGAAACTCACAGCAGCCCACTCATCCAGGATCTTCGTGATGGGCTCCTTCCAGATTCTTTCTCCCTGGAGAACAGTGTATTCATAGTTATTTTGCACAAGCACAGTGTGTTCAGTCAGCCCTTAAAAACTGTGGGATAATCTCATTGTAAGTTTGACACAGTTCATCAGTAACAACGTTTTCTCAGTTTCTCTTTCATACTTCCTAGTTCTAAAAAGATTCTAAAATGATTTATTTTAAATTTTCCAAGTGTTTACAATCATGTTTCCATGTTTCTGCAATCCCAATACAATGATGAACAAACATTGATTGAGAAACATAATTTACTTCTCTCTCACCACCTTGATTTATTGGAAACAATTCAATACTGAAAACAGTGGGGACAAACATTGAGGGCCAAGCACAATAAAACATTCTCCACTGTATCCTATCACACTGCACTGGATCTGTGTACATATAACAGTATCAGTGTTAGTGAATGTGTGTTTCTTGCAGAGGAAGTGTCACTGTGGATATTAAAAGGTAAGAAATTGATAGAATACTTTACAATTTTGAAATTTCTGAATCTATTCTATTGCAATGTTACGCTCCCAAAAGCTTATGATTATTTCTAAACTTCCTCTTAAATAGCAAGACAGTTTCCAAATTAACATCACACTTGTGGTCATTTTGTCACCATTAAGACACAGTGGAAATGTGTGACATTTCCGTATTATTCTCGGCCATGTCTGTATATACTATAATGGATAAGAAGTTAGGAGTTGTTTAAAATACAACAGGGGAGCAAGCAATAATACTGGACCAAGTGAAAACAGATTTTGGTTTTCCTCCTTTTGTTGGAGATGAAACACATGAAAGAGATCATTGTCAACATTAAAACCTGGGCAGAAAACAGCACGTAAATAAGAGCTTGTTTAGACTGAAGGCCAGGAAAGAGGAGCCGATACTCCTGGACCAAGACTGTGAAATGTCTTTACTGTGAGAGACAGCAACTGCAAACTGCCAGACGAGCAGTAACTGAGAAGTGCTGAGAGAGAGAAATGTTCATTCCCCTCCTTTCTTGATTTAGTATTCCTTCCCCTTACCAGGAACCTACATCACTTTTAAACTATGAGCTTTGGTTTTCATGGAACCTACAATATGCTTTACACAGATTGGTCACAATATATGTGTATTACACAGCTGGTTACCCAACTATATCTATACATTGTACTGGAGTGCTTCAAAGATCTGTGTTCTGCATACATTTAGATACCCATGTTGTCTAACCCCATAGCACTTTTATTGCATTCGTCTTTAATTACATTTAAAATAGCTATGTGATATTACATTATAGAAATCTTAGTGTTTGATGTGATGAGAAGATCAGGTGTTGCCTAAGAAAAGAATAATCCATCTGGCGGTGAACTCTGCCCATGCTCTAACTTCACGTATCCGTGAAGGAGGAACCCCCCCACCAAGTGATTTTCTGGTTTTTCAACACTTTCTAATTTCTCAGGAAAATACCTTCCTTCTTTCTGAAGTCATGCTGTAGCTGTCGGGGTGTGCGCTACAGTACGACTTCATTAAAGTGTTCAAGAAGCTGTCGTTTTCTGCGGCCTTTTTTCTACAAACTGAAAGATGACAGATGACAGATGAAAAATCAAAACTCGAACGTTTTGCTGCATACAGATGTTCAGAACGAACTGTTAAACATGAACTAGAGGACACAAGTGGAAACTCTGTGGAAGTGCATTCAAAACCCACAGCAGGGTCATTTCTTTAAACAAAGGGTTCCAGGGGTGTAGAAACAGCTGTCCAGCCATGTTGTCGAAGTCAATACTTTAATGGCTGAAGTAGATCGTACTAACATTTTGAGCTGATTCTCTTACGTAGGTATAAAAGCACCCAGAACGATGATTGATGACTGTGGATTACAGGATAGCTGTATTGAAACCACAGCTAGTGTTGGGGTGAGCATTCCCACATGACGTAGACATTTTTTACACTCAGTGCTGGATTTGGGGTCCCAAGGGAGCTTTAGGATGAGTGATAATTTGCTCCTATCAAAAGATCTAAGAAAACCTTTTCTACTGAGGAAACTCTCTTACGTATGTCATTTAATGTGCAACTACTGTAGATGTACAGCTGCAGTCAACATTTAATGGTTCTTGAAACCCAAATCCTACACTGGAGAGAAATACATGCTAATTTCAATACTTTTCAGCAGATCGAAAATGTGCCTACAGTAGACCCATTATGGAAGTAGATACATTTCCAAGAGCTTTTTTCAGTGTTCTTGATTGTATTATACTGACATTTTTTGGTTTGAGGAACATTTTCAAATCTGATGACTGGAGGGCATCGGAGACAGATTGCAGGACTGCTTTGTTGAAACCCCAGCTAGGGTTAGGGTTAACATTCCCACACGACTTACACTTTTAACACTCAGTGCTGGACTTGGGGTCCCAAGAGAACTTTAGAATGAGTGATAGTTTGCTCCTACAAAAACTCCAAATATTCCCTCCGCTCTCAGTGTCCATGATCAGACAACACAACACAGAGCAGTACTGTTTCATTATTAGTCATTCTTTATTGAAATGATGATGTTCACAATCTACAGTGTTGAAAACAATCCTGGTACGGACGTTTTCTGCAGTCCTATCCCACCCATCACCCCTACACCAGAAAACAATAACAGTGATAAAACGTATTAATATTGAGACATACAGTAGCTGTTAGTGATGAGTTCGTAAGATTTGTTTAATATTCACATCTGACAGGAGGCAGCAGCACAAGGTCTTTATAATCCCAGGTCCAGAAGACAGGATAGATTTTCTCCCCTTGATTGAAGACCATGTCAGTGAAGGTGTAGATATGAGTCTTAGACTCTACTTTGTAAAAGGAGACCTTCCTCTTCTCAATATCCACACACACCCCTAACGTCTTGGGATGCACTTTGAGGTGGGAAGAACAGTATTCTAACATCCAGTACCCCTCCTGAGGAGAGAAACTGAAGTCTCCTTTCCTCTCTGCAGACTCTCTAGTGACTCCTATTCTCCAGTATTGATTCACCTCCACCTCCCAGTAGTGTCTCCCGAAGGAGAAACCCTCCCTGCTCAGGACACAGGCCCAGGAATCAAATCTCTGGGGATTGTCAGGGAAATTGCTCCACGGTCCCTTTTGCACTCTCTTCCCATCCTCAGACAGTGTGAGAGAACAATACGCTGTGTCAGGGTCCAGAGTCAAATCAGCTGTCGGAATAAAAGTGTAAATATCAGAAGAGTCTGTTGAAAATATGAAAATTTAAGTCAAATGGTATTTGTGAAATATGTATTTGATTCTTGGGTGTACAGAATGTGTAAATGTATACACCTCATATAAGCACATTCTGTGCACTGTATATACATGTAAATTCTATAGCTGCTATAATATATAGTGTATATACAGTATTACACTATATGATACCTGAAATCTAAGATTTCTTCTTTTTACCTTTCAGTGAGGAATTAACCTGCACTTGTTGTATTTAGTGATGAGTTAGGGAGCCGTCTACTGGACAAGAGTGAAAACTGCAGTCTGGCCCTGAAGCTGACAAGGCAGCATCTTCCTCTCATGTTTCACACTTATTCTGCATAGAAGTGCACTGTCAGTCATACTAAATCCACAGGACAACCTGTTACTGTGGAAATACAGACACCCTATAGATCACTTCTGGTCTGGAATGAGGACTCCGATATCACAAGTGAACACCCTACTTTAGGGTTTAATGTGAAGCTGCAAAGGAATTTTCCACATATTCCGAATGGCGGAAGAATAATCCAAATTAGAACAGAGAATATAAGAATGAATCTGAATCTGAATGGAAATTCAAAAGATCACCCAACTTTTTGCTATGAATTTTGCTGCTCAAATAAGTGAAATTACTTGTCACTCAGTGCCTCAAATCTTGAGAAATTCACTAGAACTTCAATTCCAGCCCGATGAACAGAAATGTGACATGGAGAAACCATATTACACCAGAAGCCCCACCACACCAATGCGCAGCACCCATTGGACCAGCTGCCCCCCCTACATGTAGACTGCTAATACTCTCTCATCTCAGACTTCCTATTCCCAACCCAATGCTCTCAGCAGCTCCTTTTTTTCTTCAAGCTCCAGAATTCTGACCTCCCCCTGACTTCACTCAGCACTGCAATATCTTCAGGTCTAGGGCAGCAACAGCTTGTCATCCTCCCCTTTGCGCCTTGTAGCACCATCAATTATTGAGAGTTAAATTCAATCCAGATGCAAGTTTCAGCAATTATTAATCTGTCCTCTATTTCAATTATGTGTATTTTCCCCATGCCCAGTTAGTTTACCCCATGGTACATCACACACACAGATCCAGATCCAGTCACAGACACTGTGTGTAGATGACGACCCCAATGCCACAGGTTCACACTCCTTCGCAGTCTGTACTGCCGTCACCACTGGCTGACAGTCTGTCCTTTATCACACTGCTGACTTCCAGCCTGTTCTCACATGATGAGCTGTGGATGAAGCTGATCAACTTTTTATCACATGTTGCTCAGTCTCACAGTACGGCACTTTATACAGGACTAACTGAAATAATATTGCAGATGTCAGTGACATGATTTCTTTTGTAATTACAGTTTTCAGATCAACACTGCCTGCAGAACAATAAAAATACAATTCTTGCTCTGTGTACTGGGAGTTGTGGCTATAGTGGGTAGCCCTGGTTTCCCTCTAGTTCTGCCACTGATAGGAACTTGCAGATTTCTTAGGGTGAATCAGGCAGTAAGATGGAGGAATATATGTGGGATCAGTGTGTCCTGACAGAGCTTTTAGATCCTGTCAATAAGAGACTAAAGGGTCTGTTTCTCTTCCAGTGCCTGAGACATTTTAACATTATGTGTCTTATTTGTCATGAGAAGAGGTGGGTGTTGTAGGTATTTTCGTGGTCAGGGGAAATTAAGTTTCTGTGTTTTCAGTTCAGACAGATTTTTCTTATTGTCTTACTCAGTGTGGCACAGTTGGTGTGTCGAAGAATGCACCAACCTAAAACATTTGACAAATAAAACAAGTTCATCCTTCTTACTGAGCAGCATTTTACATGCAGAAGAAAGAATCAAGTCAAATCAGCCCAGGTATAGGCAAGAACTCCAAGTAGCCAAAGCAGAGCATCTCAGAGAACCACGCCCTGAGTTTGTAGCTTGCAGTTATTGTAAAGTGGGACAGGGGGGATATAAAAGCAAGGAATGAGCATAAATTGTCAATCCAATAAAAAAGACAATGAAATGATTAATTTCTATTTGACTTACCCCTTCCCCCATGAAATCTTTAAGTTTGTTTTAATGTAGTCTGACTGCATCACCCTCGATAAAGGTGAGGGACTTTGTAACACTTATTGTATTTGAACTCAGCAAAGGCAACTAAACCGGGTCCAGCCAGTATGAGGTGGGTGGACATACAGGAACTTTTCAAGAACTATAAAATCACATGTGATATAAATACCACTGTTAATAAGGTTTGGTGAAACAACCCACTCAGCCCACTTCTAAGAGGTCACCCTGGTAAAGTTTCTTCTAAAACTACCCACACCAAACACAACCTGAGCAATAAATAATTCTAGACCTCAGACTCCTGGAGGACAGGAAGTTAGGCCTGTGAAGATAGGTCCAAGAGGACTGGAAGTCAAGACCAGGGATGTCAGGAAGCAAGGAAGCCAGTATACCAAGGAGAAGAAGTAACAAAGAGCTCAACTGGAATATGTAAAGAGCTGTAAAGAATACGTTGTCATTGTGTAAAATGGGATTTTTACACTATCGGCACCAACATAAGAGTCTCCTATTGGCCATTAGAGAGATGAAAAAAAGATTCCCAACCGAAGTCCTGATTGATTTTTAACCTTTCCCCTTGAGTTATGTCCCTTGAGTTACATACAGGAGTTTACAGAAAAGCTGACCTGTAGTACAGCTAATGTTTACACAGACAGTCTGTGTTACAATAGTGGAGTATTTATGTCTTTATCTTAAAAAGGAGACATGTTTACCTGCAGCACTGCACAGCAACTGATATACTGGAAGAGAGAAATACAGACACTGTTAATCACAGACACACACTGGGCTCCACACAGTCAGCATTGGGGGGTTCATTCACGTTTCTTGCTGTAGAACTAGAGCATGTGCAGGTTTTCAATTTCATAAATCTAAGAGTTTCCAAAACATCAATCATGGTCATGAAATGCCAAATATGAAAAATTCCATTGGATTCTATACTTTTTGTTCAGTTTCACAGCCTACAAATATATTCTGTAATAACTAATGGCTGCCTGCTTCACCGGTGCCCTCTTGTGTTCAGGAGGATAGCTGGTCTCCTCATCCCACTAAACCACTGTTTAAACATTTGCCCAAATAAATGACTGGATTGTTACTGCTATTCTGAACATTTTCAAGTTAGTTATTGTTGAGAGGAATCATTGTTTTGAGTACATTTTGTGTTCCTTATGCAAAAGTGCAAAAGAGCACCACTTGGCCACTACGGCCAGTGGTATTCCTCTCCTTGCTATATCAATATTCCTGATGAGTAATTAATGTCATTGTCTGAAGAAAAATATTCACTCACCAACTCGTTTCTCTTCCCCTGTAGAGAAACACAGGCAGTGTAATAAGTAACTGGCTCTGCAAAATGCTAATTGTGTGTCTGTTCATCAACTGTTTAAGCAGATTTTCCCGTTATAGAGCTCAGAGATTTTCCCGTTATAGAGCTGAGTAAAACTATGAATTCATAGAGAATGGTAGCTGTTTCACTGGTACCAGCTGTATCAGAAAGCGTGAAGAAGATGTATTGACTGCAGTCTAGAGTGATGTGCTCAGTAGATTGGATGGACTCTTCACTGCTCCCCACTGACACAATGTAAGAACTAGTCAGCAGTGAATAAGGCCCAGTACTAAGGGACAGCCTCGTCTCATTTGATCACATTGTCACTCTCACTCTGTGGCACTGATTTATGTTCTGATGAAAACTGGAGTCTACAGTTCTTCACATGGTATCTACTGCATAAACTGTCTCCCGTTCTCAAGTGTAGGATTTTCTGTGCTGCTTTTAAACATAATAATGCTATTTTACACCCATCCTAACACAGACATTCAGACACACGTATGCTGTATAACAACCACATACTGTCCATTCTTCTCCACTGGATCGCCAGAAGCACAGATGCTGCTACAGTCACAGCTGATATTATAAAGAGAGCCACCATCCATCCAGAGGGTCCAGGGAAAAAGTCTCCTGGAAAACAGCACAGGAATATGATCCCAAGGGAACTAATATACAGCCCATCGCGTGTACACATGTATATTTTCTTTTAACGCAATACTTTTCTTTACCAAAACCAAGATTATTTTAAATAATTTCTCAAAATATCGCAAATGCAAGTGATCTCTAATATCCTCTAAACGTGACCCTTAAGTTTGTTTTCACAGCAGTGAAACTATTTTGTAATAAACAAATTAAAAGTGTAACAACAGCAATATATAGACAGAAACTACACAATGGGTGAATAATATGTACTTTTACCAGGAAAATCCCAAAACAACAACAAGTACTATATATCACAAACCACCAAAACAGCCTAAGCTTTTCAGAACTGTGTTTCATAAATAGATACATCAGCATAGAGTATATAAACATTTTTCATGGGAATATTTGTGAAGAATCTCGTGTTTAGAGAAGCATCAAAGTATATGAATAATTTATCGGTTCTCCAGCAAAATGCCAGCACAAAAGCAAAACTTCACTAAAATACATAAAGAATGTTTTTGCTTACATTGAAAAAACTGCTTTCATTTTACCCTGGAAATTCACAAGTTTATCAAAACAATGCAACATAAATGTCTTTTAAAGCTCCCCTATATGAAATTGACCGACTTTAGAAAACACTAATCTAAAAGGTTAAAACAGCTGTTATTCAGCCAATTCTGACCATTCAGAGCTTAAATCTTCATCACTATGGCATGCATGTGTAGTTTTTTATTGTATTGAACTTGTTTCTTTTGAATACTGTATAAGTGCATACAGTAAATACCAGAAAGCAGCAAAAAAAAAAGGTTAAAAAACTCTCTAGGACTAGGACCAGAATTAGTGCATTATTATTATTATTATTATTATTATTATTATTGAGCTTCCGAACAATTCAAGAGGTGCTATATTAGCACAATCAGTCTGTCATATGAAAACTTCTTTGCCCGATTCAGCTCATTCAGCCTGATCCTGAGATCAATCTGCACTCAGCTGGACCTCCATCAGCCTGTTTTCCACTAGACCAACTCAGAAATACACCAAACAAGCAGCATTTCCCTGTTCGCCTGTCCTCGTTTGCACAGCATATTCTATCGTTATCGCCTCTTCTCTGCCTTCACTGGGACCAAGCATATGAATTCTTCAGCCTGTCCTACAGTTATATAGCTACTTTCATCTCTTAGCTGTGTCATAACTGTAGTTTAACTAAAGCAAACACAACACTGAAGACGTCACATTCAAATTCAGTACTAACTGGGTATGTGGAGCTCAGACTCCCAGTCTGCCATGGGCTGTGTGCTTCTAACCAGACAGGAAAAGATGTTAGACTCCTGTTTAACTGGAATGTAGCTTTTGATACTGAGGAGCCCTTGACTGTTGCTGTCCTCTGTAATGGGCAGTGATGGCACCTCATTTCCATTCTTGTCTATCCACATCACTGCAGGTGCAGGGAACCAGCCCTCTGCTCTGCACAGCAGCTGGGTCTGACTCTCTCCAGGGGAGTGGAGAGAAACTGAAACATCTGCCAATAGAGAAAACAACTTAATAATAATAATGTAATATAATAATAATGTAATTATTATAATGGCAATGAGAGCTACACAGCTCTTCTAACCATTGGAGACTCTCCTGATAGTCACTATGGAGCTCACAGTATTAAATCTCTTCAGGGTGCCAAATCCCTTCAGCTATATAATTGACCCGACCAGCAGATGGTCTTCTGGACTGGTGTAGATCTCCTGTAATTTCAGTCCACCTACAGCTTGCGATCTCATTGTTAAATACCCTCTGGCGTCTTTGCAGGAATCTCTCAGAATCCTAAAACTGAACAATGTGGACCTGATGGCTACCAAATGAAAAGTCATTGGCTCACAATAGACATCCTTCTGTAACTTTTCCACCGTTGGTAACCGTTATGAACATAAGATGTATTATATAATTTAAAACATTAACATTATGATTGCAAAATAACACTCACCTCTTACAACCAGGTCAATAAGAGTGTCTCCATTATGTTCCACAGACTCCACCAAACAGTTATACAGTCCATGATCAGAGAGACTCACATTTTTCAGCTTTAAAGAAACGTTGCCTCTATGGAGCTCATGCAGAAAGAGATTAGCCCTCTCCCTGTAGGCTGGGTTCTGTACATCAGTGTTATATTTCTGAGATTGATACAAACACACAGGAGCTTCGTATTCGCCTCTAAACCACCTGATGTTTAGGTCCTCAGCACTGATGTCCGGTGAGAGGTAACAGGGCAGGACAGTATCTTCACCCGGGGACACAACAACAGGAACACCTGAACCAAGAACCTGGAATTTCTCTGAAAGTGAAAGAGCACAGCCGACATGAATCTACCACTTCTAGAGGAATGATCACTCTGAAACATATCACACAAGGGGATGAAGCGCTAAACATCATGGTGCTGGAGCCCTGACCATTTTTATCTCTCATCTCATCACCATGAAGGCAAAGGTCACTGATTGTTCAATGTCTATTTCAATTAGGCTGTGTTAGGATTGTTTTGTATTTGTATTTGGCTACTTTAATCAAGGCAAGTAAAAGCTATGCAGAACCTCTCCTTTAAGGTTACACAAACCAGACACAGCACACATACTTAAATTCCAATTCCAATTCCAACGTAAGCATTGTTTCGAAATAAAGGCCTTTAGCTTTACATCCATGGATTTTCTAACCACGTTTGGGAGAGCCAGAGCAAACCTGGCAAGCAATGGGCACAAGTCAGGATACACCCTGGACAGGACACCACTCCATGACAGGGCACACACTGTCACAAACACACACTCGCACCAGGGTCACTTTTCCCAGAAGCCCTACCGGCATGGCTTTGGACTGTGGGAGGAAACCAGAGCACCAGGAAGAAACACACAAAGAAACACAGGCAGAATGTACAAGCACCCCAAAGCACTCTGGGACTTAAACCCAGTTACAATCTTGTTCAAAATCAAGGCTTAGGGGTATGATCTTGAGCGAAGAAGGACACTTGTTATCTTAGAAAACCTGGAGGAGTTTGTCTTTGTTGACTTATTGAGTCTCTTTCTTTGTAGTTAATACATACTGTTTACATTCAGATGAGAAGGGGTGTGCTAAAGAATAGTATTGCATGTTACACACGGCAATATAATATATTCCAAACCAATCTGAGTCAGTTTCAAAAGACAACAAAAACAAAGTGCAACAAAGAACCAATGTAATAATGAATAAATCAAACCGCTGACAATAAATACTTTAAAAAACACTGTTCAAATGTCCGATAAATTTCTATGCAGAACATAGTAATCTACTAACAGCACCCCATCCACTTTCTATCTGCTTTATTCAATACAGGATTGTGGGGAAACTGCAGTCTATCCCAGCAAGAAATGGGCACAAGGCAGGGTACACCCAGCACAGGACGCCAGTCACTTCAGGTAAATTATTTAATCATTTTTGCAATAATATTAAATCAGTTGTTAGGCATGTTACTGCACCAGTGCAGCTTATTGACATTGTTGACATAATGCAGTATATGTCATACCTCCCATCTTAACATTGAGCAAAAGGGAAAGATTTAGACTTTCATAAATGTACTGTAGGAGTGAAGGATGCAGTATTTTGGGTACTAACTAGTGTAATGTACGCATTTCCATATTTCCAATTCTCCATTGTAACACTGAGTTTGTGCCCTCCCAGTATAGTGTGTGAGCACTGCTACTTTTACCAATGCTCTCTGACACTCTTGCAGTTTGGGCACATAATATAGACAGTACAATTCAGGTGAAAATTCTATATGTATTTTTCATACGGAAGGTCACATGTGACTGAGATGGAGATTAAGGTGCTGGAGCAGTGCTACATCCTTGAATACAGACAATATCTGTAAGGCAACAAGGTTTAATACCCATGCACTGCTTATCATGAGTTACTGTTCCTGCTCAGTGTGGAAACATTACCACAAAAATCAGAAGTTTCTCCTCATTGTACCTGATCTTGACACAGACGTCTGGAGGAGAAGCAGAAGAATCACACAGAGACAGTCTGATTGGCAAGACTTCATTTCTGAAATAAGGGAACACTCTGATTGGTCTGATATCATCAACCAAACAAAACACAGTTTGACTGGATACATATCATCCTTCAATCGAAAAGACAATGTGATTTCACTAAAACAGACACTCAAAGTGATATATCCAGCTGTACTATGGCAGCAAGTTTCTCTGAGCTTCAGTTCTGATGTGATTGATCACTCACACACTGCTGTGTCTGACTGGTCTTACTGTCACTGCAGCACACAGCAGCTTCAGTCCTGACCTTACTGTGTATTCTCACAGTGCTGTATCTAACTGATCTCACTGTCACTCCTACTCCAGAGTACAGGAGCTAAAATCCCAGAAAAGTTATACGCCTCACAACTCCAAAGATCAATGGCAGTACAATTGAGAGAGTGGACAGTTCTAAATACAATACCTTAGAATTATTATTGAAAAAACATCACAAAATGTCAGTCTAGATTGATTTTTTGTAAATTGACTAAACTTTAATAATGAGCTGTACTGTTAACCTTTTATAGATGTTTTATGGAATCTTTTCTTATACTCATCATCATATCCTGGTTTTGTTATCTTGCCATCTCCAACCAGTATAGGTTGGAGAGTGTGAAAATTCTCAGCAGCAAGGTACAGTAGTAGGTACTGGACAATGTAGTCTTAAAGATCTATAGTATCTGAGAACATATAAAAAAGAGCAATGATATTGTCCTAGATCCTACTCTCCCCCTCTGTATTCAATATGTTATTTTATGTTTACTATCTGGATACGTTGCTGCCTATGAAGACTAATAATAATAATTGCTTAAACCTGTATAGCACTTTTCTGAACACTCCACTCAAAGCACTTTATAGATAATTGGGACTCCTCCCCACCACCACCAGTCTGCAGCTCCACCTGGATGATGCTCCAGTATGCTCACACACACCAGCTCTCAGTGTGGAGGAGAACAGAGTGATGAAGCCAGTTCAGAGATGTGGATGATTAGGAGGCCATGATTGGTAAAGGCTAATGGGAAACATCACTATACAGTATGTATATGTATAACAGAGTTAAACCAACATGATAAAGATAAATAACATATATACTGATGGAAACAAAATACATGCTACATTTTCTGGAATGAGAGTACTATAGTTATAGCTTATGTACTTTCACAAAACGTTTTCAATTTGTTTTAAGTCCTCTGACCAGCAATACAGCTTGTGCAGTGAGGCATTGCAACTTGCCAATCACACGGAAGCTCGTTATGTGCACTTTTAGTCCAGGTGGAACAATGCCTAATCAGGTCACCATTAAAAAGGCCTTAATTCACAGCTAAGGTCAGTGCAAGAAAAAGGCCACACTTAGTCAGTTTTCTGTGCATTCCATAATGCGTCGAATGTCACCAGAAGCCATTGGCATGCTGCAGGCAGTCATGTCATGTGCCAGCATTGCCAGACACTATAGAGTGAGCCGCTCCACTGTGTCCCGAGTGCAGAGAAGGTTTCAGCAGACCGGCAGGACTGAAGACCGTCCAAGATCCGGTCGCCCTCGAGTGACCACACCAGAGCAGGACTGACATATAAGACTGCTCCATCTGAGAGATTGTTTCTCAACAAACTAATCTAATCAAGTTTTTGCTCACTCATACCGTTCACGGCGGCACGCCCTTCTTCTAACATCGCCCCAACTAGTATCGTCTCACACGCTACTGTCACACTTCAGCTCGGCACGGCTCTCTCACAATTTACTTCTGTCTGAGAATATAAATGTGATTTAGTTATATGGGGCTGATAGAATCTATGAGCTAGACTCACCTAACACGTTATTGTCTATGGATATGTGTATTTTAACTTTGAAGTTATTAACTCTAATCTTTGTCATTCCTGAGTGAATGATCATTCTGTGTTCACAGCAGATCGTTCCACAGATACTGTTTATTCTATTAATTTGTCGCTTGTTATGTATGTTTTGGTTATATCAATAAATTGTATATTGTATATTTAGAATCCATTTGTGAGACTGTAAATAATTATCTTTGATTGGTCCCTAAAAGTCAACAAGTACTCTCGCAATTTACTGTTACAATTTCCGATTGTCACACCAAATTAAACCCCCCCATCTCCTACACTGTGAAGAAAATGTTTTAACTGTTAAGAGTTGTTGCTCAGAGAGAAAGATGTTATTAATCTACAGGAAACACAAAGAGGAAGAAAAACTTTCAAATGGAGTCATGAAATTTACTGTATGCCTGTTGCCAGCACTGAAATATTGAAAATAAGCAAGAACATACCTTCATATACACAGACATAAATCATCTGTTTTGTGAATAATTGTACTGTCTGAATGCTAGAGGACAGTATCTAAGCCTTCAGTACACTGTGCTGTTAATTCTATTAAAAATGACAGGATACTTACAGGCTGTTTAATCAGGTTGGAGCTCCACACTCTGCTATTTTGAATTTTACAACACTTTTTTAAACTGTATATTTGAAGTCGCTTAAAAACCACATTTAAAAAAAGATCAATTCTGACTTTCCCTGTATCACAAATGTCCTCTTTTCACTTTCAAGTACTGCTGAAACACTGAGAGGCAGGAGGGAATTTTGGGAAACTGAGTTGTGCAGGGTTGTGCAACTGCAAGATGTCATGGTCATGTGACTCAGGCACCGCTCAGTGTTCAGGGATATACACTCTCTGGGACACTTTTGTTACCATTAGAATATGACCAGTAAAAAAAGTTCAGTATATTGGCAGGTCATTTGTGTCCCCTCCTGTACTGATTCACTGTGGAAACGTATTCTCAGCCTATGAGTTCTGACAGTATGACCTTATTTTACACTGCTGAGGAGTCACTCTGGAGTGAAATGTGTACACATCAGTACACAACATTTATTCACAGGTCCATGCAGAAAAGAAAGCAAGTGATTCCATATTGCCCTTTATATGGTCTTTTCATATATTTACTGCAAATCATAATAACTAAAATGGAACATGTGTTTTAAAATTACTTAAATGTTACTTCCTCTGTTTAATCCAGTGAAAGGAGAGTGTCTCTTCACTCTCTTTCTTTAAAATTGTGTATAAAATCGCATATGTCTGTGTGTGTCACTCTGTATATCATATGTTTATTCTCCAGGGAGTGAGAATTCTGAAATTAGATTTATTTAGTGGAAGATTGGACTGATTTTTGCAGTGATATAGAAAGACATCACCAAACTGACTTCAGAAATTATTCACCACCCCTCAACAACTGTAATTGTAACAACAACAACTGTAACAAGTGTAATTGTGTGACCAAAGCTATCAATGCATTTAAATACTTTTCCCCTTGATTCAAATTACATACTCAACAATTTAAACAGGCAATTTCTTTATTTTGTAACACAAATTTATGAACAATATAAAACTTAAAGAGTGGCATAGTGGCAATTTGGTTAGCATTGCTGATTATCCTATTACTCTTGAATCCTGGGTTCAATTCCTGTCATGCTATCCGTGTGGAGTTTGTATGTTCTCCTTGGCTTCCTTGTGGGTTTTCTCCCACAGTCCAAAGACATACTGACAGTTAATTGGCTACGAGGAAAATTGTCCTGGTGTGAGTGTGGTTGTGTTTGTGTCTGTGTGTGCCCTGTGATGGACTGGCATCCCTTCCAGGGTGTATCCTGCTTTGCGCCTGTTGCTTGCTAATAAGGCTCCTGCTTTCCCACAGCAAGCAGTTACAAAATAGGTGAATGGATGAAAATGTAAATATGTTGTTAACTTAAGTATTCACCCATCTGAGTCAACACCTTATAGAAACACTTTTGTCAGCAATTGAAGCTTTGAGTTTTCAGGGGTGCGTCAAATTTGCTCAAACTCTGTCAAGTTGGATTGGGAGTGTCTGTGAACCACAATCTTAAAGTTCTTCCAGAGATTCTCAGTAGGATTCAAGGGCTTGTTTGAGGCACTCAAGGACATTCACCCTCATGTTGTGAAACCACTCCAGTGTGGAGTTAGCTGAATGTCTGGGGTCATTGTCCTCTTAAAAAATGTGAATATTCACCCTAGTGTAAGGTCTCATGCTGACTTAAATAGGTAATAGGTTCAACCATTTGTCTTGATTTAGGCCCATTCATTGTTCTCCTTATACTGACAAGTGCCCCACTCTATGATGCTGAAAAGCATCCCCATTAGATGATCCTGCTAGAACTACACTTCTTGATAAGGATTGCATTATAAAGATGATGAGCTGTGTCCGGTTTGCGCAAGGCATAGCAGTATGCATTCAGGCCAGAAAGTTCATTTCTTGTTTTGTCAGACGAGAGAATCTTTTGCCATGTGGTCTCAGGGTCTGTCATGAGCCCTCTTGCAAGCTCCAGCCTTGCTCTTAGCTTCTGTCTAGCCGCTCTGCCAGAGAGGGTACAGAGATTTGTGTCCTTGGAGATGTTTAATGATCTCAGCCATTGAACTGTCAAGGCTGTCAGAGTGGTCACTGGCATCTAGAGGGGTTATGTCCTGTTTCTTTGCTTCTGTTTCTATGAACCTGACTTTGCTTCTGGGATTTGTCAACACCCTACTTATGTTTTTATAACCTTCCCCAGATCTATGACTGCTCGCAATTCTGTTGTGTTGTACAGTTGTACAGACACCTTCATGAGTTTCAGCTCTGATATGTAATCAACTCAAGGACCTTATTTATACAAGTGTATTTCTTCTGATATCATGTCACTTAATTGAACTGACCATAAGTTTGAACTAAAAAAATAGATGCACCTGGGCTTCCTTTTGGGTGTTAGGGGGTGAAAACTTATTAAATCAAGCTTTTGTTCCATTATGATATAATAAAGTCATTTGTGTAGATTAATGCCAGATTTAGCCAGCAGCCATATCACCCTGCAACTCACAACTGGCAACCCACTGAAGCTCAGCAGGTGTGAGCCTGGTCAGTACCTGGAGGGGAGACTCCTGGGAGGCTGAGGTTGCTGCTGGAAGAGGTGTTAGTGGGGCCAGCAGGGGGTGCTCACCTTGCAGTCTATGTGGGTCCTAATGCTCCAGTATCGTGACGGGATACTATACTGTAAAAAGGTGCTGTCCTTTGGATGAGATGTAAAACTGAGGTCCTGACTCTCTGTGGTCATTAAAAATCCCAGGGCGTTTCTCAAAAAGAGGAGGGGTGTAATCGCGGCGTCCTGGCCAAATTTCACATTACCTTACCAATCATGGCCTCCTAATAATCCCCATCTATGAATTGGTTTCATTACTCTGTTCTCCTCCCCATTGATAGCTGATGAGTGTTCTGGTGTTCTATGGCTGCCATCGCATCATCCAGGTGGGGCTGCACACTGGTGGTGGTGGAGGGGATCCCCATTACACC